ATAACGGTTATTTGATCACTACCTATCTAACCTCTATTGGACATAACAATTGAGTAACGGATATATATATACAAACAATCAGAATATTTGTTTGAGCCGACTTAGTCGTATGTTAGACGAATCAACTCATTATATTTTTTTAATAATAATGTAAATTTATGTAATGCAATCTCATGCTTTTATTTATTTATTTTTTATAATATTTACTTCAGTTTAAGAGTATATATATATATATTTATTTAAAAAAATATGACTTACTAATGCGCAATATGCATGTACTTAATTTTATATGCAATAATCAATTTTCAGTTCTTGGTATTTATATTATGATTCTTGGGTGATTGAAAATGATTTTGCATCTTTTGATCTGTTAACTTAAATTGATTATTAAATGTTATTTCTTATAATTTGAACACCAAGGAACTGTATTAATGTACGGTTCTTTTTTGATTTCTACAAAATTTGTTGCATAAACCGAACCAATTTTATCTCACAGGTCACGGTTCAGTGGTTCTTGAAAAAATATGAAATCCGAACCGATTCTAAGCCTACAAATGATGGTTCAAAATTTTTCGATTGAGCTCTAAAATCGTTATTATAGTCAATTCGATCACAACCAACATTAAAAAGTCACAGATTTTCTAAAATTTGTTAGTCCATAACTATTCTTTTTAACATCCAAAAGGAAAATATAATTAGAGCACATACATATGCTCTCTTCCTCTTTTGACATTTTAAGTTTTGGTAAATGCAAGCTTTTTTTATCTTTTTTTCTTTTTAAAAAAAGGGACGAGAGAGATGGATTAAATATTGAAAGTAGAAAAGATCAAACAGTGACATTAATTTTAAAGTCAGATTCTTCTTTGTAATTATGGAAAAAAATTCTAACAACTACTCACATCTTTTTTCAATTACATCCATACAACTATTTTGGTGTAAACTGCCAAATGTCACAGTTAGGCCTGTGATAAGTTGAAATAGAAATAGTAGTAATGCCACTGTTAGTATTTTCAGCACAAATGCTGCCCACTTAAAAGCAATTCCGCTCATAACTATCAATAAAATAAAATCAGCTTTTTTAATTATTATTATTATTAATTTATTTTATTTTATTTTGTTGGTTTTTTCTTGTTACAAGGTAATTCGGAA